ATGTGGATAAACTTAGTCTTTACTATCTTCTTCACCCTGTAGTTCATAAACATGATTCTAATAACTTATGTTACCCTCTGTTCCAACCCTTACGCTGAGTATCCTCCCTTTTCTTTATACTCCCTCACCTCCTCCTTACATTTTACCTGATTTATTATCATTCTTATGTTTAAAATGTACAATGTACATTGTTGTTATCTGCAATTCTCATTCGTTTATAGTGGGCCAACCAATTAAAACCACCTACTCTGGTTAGGCGGGTCCAAACTACATAGTAAATTGTGATTTTTTTATTTGTATTATCTCGTGCTTTGTAGTTGAATAAAAATATGAAATATGAATATGAATCCCTATATCTTTTCAACCTGACGGTGTAAACATTTGATTTTGCAAACTTAGGCTTTAACAGAATGTATTGCTTTAAATAAAAAAGGTCTACGACATCGAATTGCAAATATTCAGGAATTAGAAAATCAGAATTTGTGGCAAAAAACATTTTTTTTAATAATTTCAAGAACGTATTTTAGTGTAAGCGGTTTCTAATTTAAAGTTTTTAAAACTACAGTGTCCGAATTCAATGAAAATAAGCCGCAGCTTAAATCTGCCAAAAACCGGTTTCAGTTGAGCGCCTGCTTAAATCTTAAAAAACTGAATACAATTTTAAGTGGAACTAACCATATTTGAGCTGCGGCTTAAATTTAAGCCGCGGCTCAAATTCTTTAAATTCGACCCCTGATAAAAAAAATGGAATATTTTTAATAAACTATACTATTAGTTTATTTCATCAGGAAGGAACTTTAATGCCGACGTAAAACTGTTTGTTTTTAGATTATACAGGGTGTCCCACATCATATTAGACCGTCAACGGGTCTAAATTGCAATTTTCGAGACTAATCAGAAAATTTAATAAGAATGAATGATTTTGAAAAATAACATAAGGCTTATATAAGAATTTTCTTGCAAAAAAATGATGAGTTTTTCGAGTATTAAGGGTTTATTTTGGCGTTAAAGATTGGAGATAATCTTATTTGATATGGGACGCTCTGTAGCTAAAAGTTAAAAACTATAGAATACCATTAATGTAGGATAAATAATTAATACTACTGTCGTCTTAAAGTCTCATCCTTAATAGGTAACACTGTACCTGCCAAGAATGTAATGCAAGGAAAGTTATTTCAGAAGTGTACACATCTTTTGTACTGCAGTGTACATGTCTCTGGGTGGTAATGTAAACACAAGACGGATGTCAAAGCCTGACATGGGATCCATCTTTCACATAAAAAATCAATGAAATATTCTGGTTATAGGAAACTATTGTGTGAATTATCAAAATTATCAAAATTTAATGCTTTTAACCTACACGGATACTAAACGAACACTGATGCATCTATTCTTGTTTACAAATTCCGCCCAAAGAGAATTGGTTTCAATGTGTACGCAGAGTATACACGACCGCAATTAACTTTCCTTGCATTACACCCTTGGTACCTGCAATCTCGAAGAAACAAACTTAAAAAAAGAGTAGGGGGCATATTTAGTTGTTATTTATAGATGATGACAATATAATTACTATGTTCTAGTAATGACTCTAGGTGGAAAATCATGATGTTGTAACTTTCTTAAATATAAATATTTTCTCTTTCAAGAGTATTAATTGTCTCGTTTTAGCTCTAGATATGCTTAATGTTCCGGAGAAATTGGGAACAGAGCAAAAAATATATTTATTGTAAAGAAAAGGACTAAAAGGAAGGATAGAATGTATATTGTGCAGGTTGGTAGGAAGGATAGGAAGGATAGGAAGGATAGGGATAGAAGAAAGGATAGTAAGGATAGAAAGGATAGTAAGGATAGTAAGGATAGAAGGGATAGAAAGGATAGGAAGGATAGGAAGGATAATTATGAAAAATAGTATTTTAAAAATAAAAATTATCTGTCATTACAATTCCTTTCAGCAAAAGGATGAAAGAGAAATACACTTTGAATGATCTGAATTTCTAAAATATAAAACCATTTTATTTTTATTCCTATTCTCGTTGAGAATTAAGTTAAACTCAGGAGGATTTATTCAAATTAAATTCAACTTTTATACTTAAGGAAAAATTCAAATAAGAATAAGACTCACTCAAGGGTGCAGATATGATTTCTAGAAATAAAAAAGCTAGAAATAAAAAAGCTAGAAATAAACTAATAAACGGAACTAGATTGTAGGAGAAGGTCAAATTCATGCGATAAAGCTTGTACAACTTTGTGACCTCGCACCACCCCTGTTACGATTTTAAGTATGAGAAAAAACCAAATTTATTCTGTTACATGTCAGAAATTCAAAAAAAAATTTTCGTAGGCTTCACAAAAAAGTGAAATTTATTTGATGTGGATAGCAATGATTATATGTAGCATTCAATTCAGTGCAGTGCATGGTAAATATACAAATTGTTTCATCACTAAAGACAAGAAGATGTACCTCTCCTTAATGTGTCCTTTCAGTGGGCAGCGAACTTTAGATAAAAAATGTTATTTATGTGTATTTGGAGATATATATTTGCAGCTTGATTGAGTCAACCTTTGATATTTGCAACTTATAATATTTGATCTGACAGAATTCATAGTTTGAAATATCTTAGGTGTATCAAATATTAGGTTGCACCTTGCTATAGCTAAGATCTAGAAATTAGAAAGAAAGTTAGAGTGGGCAGCAAAGACTTCATTCCTTTACGTATTAAGACAAAAAATTATTTCACGTTATTCCTGAGATAAGAATAGAATAACAGAAGGATTTAAAGGGACTGTCAGCGTAATTTACCCTTTATGCAGAGATGGCAATGCACGATTCACAACGGTACCCTTGAAACCTTTATTTGTTTTATGATATTTTCTATATTTATATTTAATATTACGCTTACTTTCCGTTGTCAAACTTTGTGAGTTTTTGCTGCAGATACATTGAAAAAAAAATTGGCAGAATTCAACATTGTATAATTGATAGATAATTAACAATCTGATTGTTTCATAGTAAAAAGTTTAAAGGACTGTGGTGAATTGAACATGCGTCTCAATAAACCGAGCCATGGTCACTTCTATTTACATGTACAGTCCCTTTACCAAGTGTGCATCTTTAGAAGCATGTCCTAATCTTTTGATGTCCTGAGCAGTTTACAAATTGTGCAATAAGGGACTGTGTAATGATAGCTGAATGTATTTTTAACCAAATTAAATAGAACTTTACAGAATCAAATTACACAGAAAATGTTTGAATGAAATGTTCCATGAATATTCTCAAGTTTAATCTGGCAAGCATTCTTTTTCATTCTTCAAACCTTTAGAAGAAGTAATAAGAGCGTTCGTTGAATATCCGAAGAAAATGTTTGCCCTCTCCCATTATTTCTTCTCCAGATGACGTTCCTCTGTTTGAAAAAGTTTGTAAATAAAGTTAATTATTTTTTATTATTACTTATTGAGAGAAGTTCTTTTTCATTACAGATATTTTGAGAATTGCACCATTTCTTTGATATTATGTAAAACAAGAAGAGCTTTCTTTTCAAGATATTCTCCATAAGTTCCTGTCTCTTCCCCCTCCAAACATCTGATGCACTCCTCCACCCTAGATACCAACCCAACCAAGAGCTCAGAAAACCTCTCCAGGGAGGTTAGTCCCGACTCCAGGTCCAGTTGGAGTAGGAGGAATAGAGGAGCTGTTATTTCATACAGGATCCGTCCTCTGATATCGGTGTATCCAGGTAGGATGGTTTCCAGGAGGGTTAGGAGCTCCTCGCCTAGTTCACATTTACGCTCCAGGTCCCTTCTGACACTTGTTCTATCATATAACATCAGGAGTTTACATTTTGCTTGCATCACTATATTATGTCCAGGATGAAGTAGAATACTACATTCTTTTAAAAACTCTTCATAACAAGAAATGGTAAAATCTGACTCTTCGATTTGGTTTAACCGTTTCCTTAACTTAGCTTCAATTTCAAGAATATGAGAGGCTTCCGTGATTTGTAAACAGTTTTCACATCTCCAGGGACAATTGTTTTCTAGATCCAGGGGCAGAACTGAACCTCCACAGGTTCTGCAGAGATGAGTATCAAAGTTAGTTCCTAGATCAGTTCTATCCTTGCACCTGGAGCAGGTGCAGGTAAAGAACCAGTTCTCTTCACAATAGTTCTTTCGTTCTAATCTACCAGAGAACAGTTTACAGTAGGATATTGTGAGTTCTTCTCCGGCCTTGATAAATCGCATAGATTTCACGCTTAGACTGAAGTCGGGATTGTTCAAGGTGTTACAGCTAGGAATACAAGCGTGGGACATAGTGGCCATAGAGAGAAATATTCCTCTAGCTGAACCTAGCCCAGGTTGGGTTGCGCTGGGTTCTCCTTCTCCGGAGTAGGGTTGGATCAGAGAACCGTTGGTTCGAACAACTCCAACACAACGTTGGATCAGGTCCTCGCTCCACTCAGTCATCTTAAGCTTTTCACGAATGGGGGATATCACCTGATTCTGTATTGCTTTCCAGTTCTTTGGTTCTAGAATCCTCTGCTGTAGATGATCCATGAGAGTATCAAACCGGTTTTCTGTCAGCTTATCGTTACTCAGCTGGGAAATCATACGGATAGGCATAATCACCTGATACTCCAGACTGGTCGCCATTTTAACTTTCGCGGATGTGTAAATATTGCATTCAATAATATGTCTTTCTCCCAAACTGCATTCTTCATTGCACATTGGAAATCCACATTTGCAGAGAAAAAATTCTTTTTCGGCCAATAGACGAAAACATTGAAGACAAACCGGTTCAGAGTCCTGAACAGGAGAAAGTCCGAATGGTTTATCACGAAGAATTAACTCTTTAGGTTGGATATCTCTGGTAGCAACTAGATACCGTCCAACGCCGTCCTGTCGTTGAACCCTCCAGGGATAGCAGGAGGCGTTGTACGAGTGAAGTGGGAGGTGAAGGGTACAGGAGAATACTAATCCACAATCATCACATCTTTTACAAGAAAACATACAATGTTCTATAATTCTAAGATTAAAAATTACTTAGGGATGATATTGATTTCTGCTAAATTTAAATTCTATTACCTATATCTTTGCAAAACCCAATGTCGGAGACCTTAAATATTTCAAACCATCAATTCTATCAAATAGTTTTAAATACTAAAGGTTTATACCATCTTGTTGCAAAGATATAGGGATTTTAAAATCAGAGTTTGTGACAAAGGCTCAATTCCTTTCCTGTAGTTTTTTAAGATTTGAATTTAAAAAAAGCATGTTTGTCATTCCTAGAAGATTTTGGACTGAAACAAAAGAAACACAGCTGATCAATTTCCGCCATGTTCGTCTAAAAATAATAATAATGATATTAATAATAATAGTAATAATAACAACAATGATACAAACAATGATAAGGGCCAGATTTTTCCGATACTTTTTTACGTTTAAGATGCTCGCCTATTGATGCATGTAGAAATAAACGTCAAAGGGAGGGTTAGCAAAAATGAAAACTGAAAAGGGGTATAGGCTTTGTGATCGCTACTAATCTTATCGTACTTCTATCTATTGCGTCTATAAGGAGAAAAATGTTAAAAGCTACATATACCGAAGAACGTAGCGACCATACATATTCGACTCCGATCGTAAGAAATTAGTTTAATTCCAAACAGATAATTCAGATATTACAATCTATATTCATCGATAATTTTCGACGCATTCGTTTATTGTTGATATTTCATAATATGTTTTACATGTTTCAGATACAAAAGGGTACCTCTAAAACTGCCAAGTATGGTATATTTTTATGATGCAGACTGGAATGAAGTGACATTTATTCATACAAATGCAGGATTTTTTTTTAGTTCGGTCCATTAGGTGTCGTTTGAGTCTATTGCAAGTGGAACTTCAGAAGCATCAAAAGCAGAGACACCTAGCGGCAAAAAAACGCTCTTTAAAGTAAATTGTATATTAGGGTACCCCAAAAAAGTTGGGATATTTGATTGATGCAGGCCGGAATGGAATGAAGTGACATTTAGCCATACAAATTTAGGAAAGAAACAAATTTTAGAGTGGACCATTTTTACAGTCTGAAATACTTTTCAGAAACTTGCACGCGCGTATGAGTCTACATCGCTAAAAAAAGATGTTTCTTGAATTTATCATGTCATATATCATTGTCCTCGTAATTGTCTAAAAAGATTAAATCCATTGATATTTTTGAAAAATTTAAAAAATTGACTTAGTTAGGCAAAAAAATCGTCAAAAATGCTTGTTTTTAGGAAAAGTTAATTTTTTGGAGGTATTTTAAACCTGATTTAGTCAATTTCTCAAATTTGTTTCTTTCCTAAATTTGTATGACTAGTTAAATGTCACTTCATTCAGCTCTGCATCATACAAATATCCCAACTTGCTCTTTTTGGGGTACCCTACTAAACAATTTACTTTAAAGGACGACTTTTTGCCGCTAGGTGTCTCTGCTTTCGATGCTTTATGAAGTTCCACTCGGAATAGACTCCAATTACACCTAGCAAGAAAAAAAAATCATCTATATAATAAAGCTCTTCGCTAATACATATGTGTATGTTGGCTTTAGCTGACCAAACGACGGGACTAAATCATCTGTAATTCTTAGAAAATCCCCAAGGTACCATCGGCTTAAAATTTTGATTTAATCTTTTGTTAAATGTTTTTTTAAAATTCCACGGTAAATGCCGGAAACACACTTCAGCTAGAATATCATATTTTGATTTAACTAAAAAGCATTCACACTACTCTGCCGCTTTAGTAATTGTAAATTGACGGTACAGTCCAAAGTAGGACTACAAAGGTTGGCCCAGCTCGGATGTTCAAATGTACAAACAATGGACAAAACATCTAATACTTATCAGTTCTAATCATTTAATTCAACTGCAAACTATGACACTAGAAGAAGGTATAAAATATACGCGACATGGAACAACGTTTAACCTGGTTTAACCTCGTAGCTTCTATTATGATTAAATACATAAAATATTTCAATCTTAGTTTGTCGTTATTAATTATGAGTTTAAATTAAAAATTTTGTTTGCCGGCTTCACAACTGAAGAAATGTCGTCTTATTTCCTCAACCTTTTCTAAAAGTTAGGCTGTATTCTTAGTGATATCTTTGAATTATAAAGGACCAATACATATACACTAATTAAATGTAGGATGCGTAGACTTTTCTGTATAAATATTCTTCTATCTCATTGTGCTGTATTGAACCTACTTGAGTTCACGGTTATGTATAAATTACCTAGTTTTATAGGTATTCGATACACTTTATTCTACTTTATTTCCCTGTACAGCTGTATACTGTGCTAGTCTAGCTTCATACTGGAGTAGAACTATAACTGTTTAAAATAATGATATTGTATTGCAGAGAAATGTACTGGCACTCTGCCATATGTTTAATACAAGTATGAGAAATCTATATATAACAAATAAACCAAGAAAGTTACACTAGGAACTCGCTAGATCAAATATACGAAAAAAATCCAGGGCCCAAAAGGTCATATAGCATAAATATGTGAAGTACACCTGCAGTATGGAAACAGTACAACAAAATGGCCGTTTTACACTTTTTTCTAGTAAATTCCCCTCTAATATATATTCTATTCTCTATGTATGTATGTTTAAACAAAGTGTCCCGTTTAAAAAGCGTACATAGTGTTTTATTATTTGCAAGTTTATTACACCAAAATACGTACAGAAAACTTAAAGAACCTTGTATTTTCTGCATGCAAATTATTATCATAAGTTTAGGACTGTGGAATATATCTATGATTACATCAAGGTATACTGCAAGTTTTTTGAGTAATGTAAGCAGTGCACAGAGTTTTGTTTACATTCCAGAAATTGCAGTAAACTTCTGAAGTAATCAAAGATATAGTTCCTGATAAATTCCTGGTATAATTCTTGATTTGATGGATCGGGCGTAAATGTTTCTTCCCGGTGTCACGGTCAAATAAATTGGTCTGCACAAGAGTCCAAAATTTTAAGATTTATTATTTGCCAAAGAGCATAATCATAATACGTTGAACAAGAACTATATTTAAACTGGATGAATAGATAAAAACTGTGATAACTCTAAAACATGTCACTAAACCACGTGGAGGGAAGTTATCATCATGGTACTCTGTTCTTTTCTATACAAATACATGAAAACTTTTACAAATTATCTTCAACATTTTCCCGATCGTGAAATTATTTTCGTCGTCGTCTATATCAATACAATGAAAACAACTTTAGATTTCTTTTGCCAAGCTTTCAAATAAAACAAAGAAAAACAAAGATAAACTATTAATTAACAGCTTCTTGTAAACTTGTAATTGTTATATTTTTATAAATCAAAACTTAAATATAAAGTCGTCTTCATTGTATTGATATAAACGCTGACCACTGTATCATATTTATTCGACTTTATTTTATTTAATTATTTACTGTTGAACGTAAAATCTAAGAGAGTTCAAAATAACATTGGATTGCGCTAAATTTTCACATTTTTAAGTTTATCGATAAATGTAATTTTAAGTTGTTATTTTAAAGTTGTTGAAAGGAGGATGATAGCTAATCATATCAGTAATAAACTATTATTGCTTTTATTTAATGTTACCAAATTTATTCCTGATAAGAGAAATTTAACTTTATCAGTGAATATATTCTCTTCTTAAATGTTGTAGAAAATGTGATGAAAGTAGAAGAAAATAAATTGCAGGAAATTAGAAATTTCGTTCTGTAATTAAGGAACATGAAACACAGTTATACCCAAAGAAAACTGAAGTTCACTGAACAAAATTATTTTAAAAAATTCAATGAATTTTCTGATAAAATGTGATTTTATATGATGTGCAGATCTATGCAGCAAAGGACTGAAAGAAAATTGTCAGAATTTGACCATTTTTAAGATAAAAAGATGACGATATCTTTCTGCTTGAAACTTTAAAAAAGATTAAAGAATTTCTTTTTAATGGTGGGTCGAGCTTGAAATTGTAAAATAGTTTTCATTTTCCTTAATGCTAGAATCATTTTTGCCAGAGGTACATCACATCTACTTTTCAGCGCTTGGTCCAATAACCTTTAAACACAAGATTATAAAATTATATTTAAAGGGAGAGACCGACTAGATAACGTGGTTAAACTAAGACTACGGAATTGTAGAAAATTTTGTTTAGAATTCATTTGGTACCAATAAGATAAACCGAAAGACTACGTTACCTAGCCTGTCTCCCCCTTCAATTAAATATTTTTCTTATTTTTTTGCCGTTTCGTTTTGTTTATTTAAAAAACCTTGGTTTGTATAATTGCATGTGTGGAATACAAATTGTTTTGAAAATGTTAAAAAAAAGAACCAAATACGCCTCACGTAAAGTTTCTGAAATTACATAAAATGTTTTAACCCAATTATATTTTCACAAAGTTTAAAGATTAGGGAAAATAGAATTGAACTCAAAAGGTATCGAGTATTGATGGTTTTTTATTTATTATTTTTGTCAAACACTTGTTATCAGTCCAAAAACGAAAATATAGTTTTGCTGAGTTTACATAGTTAGGCAAGATTAAATGACTCTACAAGAGTTTTTTTAACCTCTAAAGTAGCATGAAATAGACTTTATTTTTTTACTCAAAAATGATTTTTTAAAACTATTGTGTTCCTGTCTAATCTGGATTTCCGTTCAGACTTATCCTCTTCTCCAGAACCTACTTCATCCAACCCAACCAGGAGTAGTTCTCCGACCTAGAGATAGAATAGATTATTATATCAGGTACTCTAATGAACCTACTTCATGCAACTCAACCAGGATTAGTTCTCCGACCTAGAGATAGAATAGATTATTAGGTCAGGTACTCTAATGAACCTACTTCATCCAACTCAACCAGGATTAGTTCTCCGACCTAGAGATAGAATAGATTATTAGGTCAGGTACTCTCCTGAACCTACTTCATCCAACCCAACCATTTTGATAATTTTGATAATTCACATAATAGTTTTCTATGACCAGAATATTTCATTGATTTTTTTATGTGAAAGATAGATCCCATGTCAGGCTTCAACATCCGTCTTGTGTTTACATTACCGCCCAGAGACAGTACACTGCAGTACAAAAGATGGGTACACTTCTGAAATAACTTTCCTTGCATATGACATCCTTGCCTGTACGTATTACTTAATGTACATCCGTACATATACTTTTATAAAAAAACACTTCTAAGTAATACATATTTTGTGCAGATTTGATTTATGTACAATGTACATATATGTATTTATGTATTATATTTGTATACTAATGTATGTTCGGATACAAAAATCGATAAACAATAAACAAATATGATGGATATATGAATAAAGAAAATATGCAAATAAAAGGAAGGTATTCTGGGTTTGCAGAAGATATATCCCAATAATCTTTATCTGATCAATAATGTGGAAGATATTCTCGTTTTTCTAGTTTTAAAGTACTCAATTCAGATAATTCCTTCATGTTTTCTGGAGTAGAAGAGATGCTCAAGTTACACAATGCATGTTTTAATCATATTACGTAGCTCATGTTTAATTAATCTAAGTATGTTCATGTTAACAAATATGAGGATTGCTGTATTTGTTACAGAATACATAGTCAATAATGTACAACGTACTGCAGGTTTACAGAATATCATGTAACCCGATATTTATTACATGATTACCTTGAACCGTCCTGCTTCGGCTGCGTACATAACAGCGTTCTTGCCAGCATAATTTAATTTATCAACCTAGAAAATAAACATAATTCTTAAACGCGTATCCATCCCTCTCTTTCTAATCATAGCATAACTTTTAAATCAACAGCTAGGAAAGAAATTGAGAAGTAGTTGTACTGTGTGTACTGAATACACTTGTACTACTGGTATATTGAGAAGTATTTATACTTTTGTGAACCATACCCCCTAATGTAACCCTGTTGTAAAGGTCGTCTCCGATAGACTGTACCTCCGTTGAACCCTCCGTCCACCCGCCAAACCAAACATTGCCAAGGATTTTGCATAAATATAAACAATAACCTTATGGAGCTAATAAAACTTAGAGTGCATTAAAAGAACTCATTTAAACATAATTTTCAGTGAATCATTCACAAATAAACAGTGAAATTACTTTAAGCAGATAAATATTCATTTCAGAAGAATTAAATTGCTTTAGACTTCAGTTCAAACAACTTTTCGGCCTAACACAGTTTTCTAGATTGTAAGTTTTTTCACAACAGTATTTTTTTTTAAAAAAACCTTTTTTTTATTTTATCAGTTCACAACAGTGCCTTTAAACACTTTATTTATCGATTCACAACAGCAATAAAATATGATCCCCAAATCCTGCTAAACCTACTAAACCTAAAATCTCCAATCCTGCTAAACCTACAAAACCTAGAATTCCAATACTCATTTATTGATAAAAACCTTCAACTGTTTAATCTTTATTAACAATTATTATTTATATGCATGTACGCCAATAACAATTTGTATTTTGTAGGAAACCTCGTTACTGANGAACTCTATATTTTTTAGAATTTGAGACTTGTAGTCGGTATACATGGGTCGTTTTTATTCATTTGGAGACCTAAATTAATACCTTATATCTGGGTCAGATAGAAGGGTTTCTAGAACCTCAACGTGATCCTTACAAGCAGCAACAACTAGTGGAGTGGAAGACGACATTAAACCAGTTCTCATCTGAACAAAAATAAAGCATTTATCAAAACTAAAATCCTTGAAAAAAAACCTATTTGTTTCTCAAACATAACTGTTTATTGAAATCCTAACTTCTCATTTTTTGGTAGTTTTTTTCTTCGTTTAATAACGCTTAGGTTTTACCTTTCGCAGTTTTAACAAAGAAAAGATCTAAACAGTTGATGCTATTTGATAGAGTTTACTCAGAACTTTGGAGTTTTTTAAAAGAATTTATAAAATGTCGTTGTGTAACCTACTAAAATGGAATTCTGCAGATATTTAGTTTTTAAATTTAATAATTACAATAAAACTCTTTAACACTGTTCCCGCATATTTCATGGCTATTATGTTATTTTTACAATTACTGAGATTTACATATATCTCATGATATATAAAGTTGTAATCTCTGTTGGTCTTTCTGTTTGTTTGTCCGATCATAACTCAGGAACCCCTGGACCAATTTGCCTCAAA